GTGAAATTTTCAAACAAAATAAATATTAAAATAAATTCAGTAAAAGTAAACACTGTTTAGACAACGTACCTTAACCCCTTGGAAGAGTGACAACGTTCCACGCGGGTGGCATGGCGGTTGGCGGCAGGCAGCGTTATTGTTTGTCGGCACGGCCTATGGTTCGTTGGAAATTTTTATTTCAAATTCCTATTCGTTCATGCGACGAAATAAAAACTTACTCACTAAACTGTTTAGGTATTTTACTGTCACTTTTTTATTTCGCGAAAATGGAACTGAACGAAATAAATATTATTGCATATTAGTAGCAAAATTTAATGAAACCCTAAATTTTAAAAATTTCAAAATCGTTCTTGAATGCACAAGTTACATCGCCGCATAATGTTGTCCTGAAGCTTGCTCAAAAAATTTCGTTCACGATCCAGAGCCAGGGCTTTTAATTTGTTAAAGGCGGCAACAATACGATTGCGCAGTTCATCTTCGGTTTCGAAAATATTTGAGTACACTTCATTTTTAATAAAGCCCCATAAAAAGAAGTCTAGAGGAGTGAGGTCAAAAAAAGGGAAAGACTTTCCGTTGACGTCAGTCGAGTTTGGTGTTGATACGTATTTTTACAGAAAGATTACATTTTTATAAGCACACACACAAAGTTTCAATATGCGGAAACTCGTACTTATTGAGAAAAAATATTGTAAATCAAATAATTTTGCAATATTTAGTCAATTCCTGCCGTGAAACTGACGCCATTTTTATTATTATTGTCAGTAGGAATGCGATTCTTTCCGAAAAAGATCGATTTTTTAAATAGATTCGAATTGTAAGCTGATGTATCGATTCCCAAAATAATCGATTTCTAAAATATCGATATTTTTTCATGTTTGCATTTATAATGTAAATATAAATCCATTTTATGAGAAAAAAATCCCCTTCATCATAAAAAATAAGGGGACTGATTCAGAAGGATTTCTGTATCTATTTTGAGACTGCTACGTCTCCGGTGCTGCGGGAAGAGCAGCCTCTACGCCTTAGCGTAACAAATCGCAGGCATCCCTCCTCGCCTCCGCAGCTTCGGCTTGTTGGTCGCCTTCGGTGACCAGCCTCAGCCGCTCCGGCTTGTCCGATGCCTACGATTTGTTACAGCAGGCGGAGGCTGCTCCCCCTACGCGCTCTATAAAACCACTCTAGGGGTAGGACAGACTCGTACCAGGTGGAGTCGGGGTCAATCAATTCGGTTCTTTGACATAAGTTAAACCTAACCTATTTTATTTGTTATCTGCCCGAATAGGTACTGTTAAATAAAAGAAATTTCAATAAGAGATCATTTATCATGGTATCTTTCTTGTTTTTCATCAAATGGGTTTATATTTACATTATAAATAGAAACATTAATAAAATATAGATATTTTAGAAATCGATTTTTTGTGAACCGATACATCAGCTTACGATTTGAATCGATATAAAAATCGACCTTTTTCGGAAAGAATCGACATCCCTATTGACGTCGACAATGACATTACAAAATGGCGCCAGTTTTATGGTAGGATTAGACATAAACATTGCAAGAATAATTGATTTTCAATAATTCTTTTCTCAAAAATTACACGCTTCCGCATGTTGAAACGTTGTGTGTGTGCTTATAATAGTGTAACTTTTGTAAAAATACGTATCAACACCAAACTCGACTGACGTCAATGGAAAGCTAAGCCAAAAAAGTAAAGTAGTGTCAATATCACAGTGAAAAAATAAACGTACTTAAAACACTATTTACACACACAAAGTCAATTAACTAATAAGTGTCTATTTAACCGTAAAATAATTGTTTGACTAATTGTATTTATCTTACGATAATTATCTTACGATAAATAATTACGATGCGCGTAGGCAGCGAAACGCACCTGTATCCTGGAACAATTGCGCGTGAACTGGAAGCTAAACTTCCAAATTCCAAAATGGCGAAAATAATAAAAGTAATAAATAGGGCGGCCACAAGGTGCAATAATCGTTTATCGATACTTTTCTTTTTACGCTTACTTACCTACTACATTTGAATACAAGTAATTTTGATTTTTGATTTGATAACAATCGCCAAGTTATTGATTGTTAAAAAAAAAGTTTATTTTTGGACAATTGAACTTACGAAACTACCGATTTGTGACTTCCTGGGAAACGGGTAAGTATGTATGACTTTTTAATTGGTTGTTTTTATGGGTTTTTTTATCATGTTAAAATAATTTATTATCTCTAAATCTACAAGAACACACTTAAACAAAAAAAAGCTTTAAAGTTTAGCTTTAAATACTTAGGTCGTAGTGTTTTTAGGATTATCATAACAACACGATAATTCTAAAAAACCATACCCTAAGTGTTTAAAGCTAAACATTTTTTTTTTGTTTATCGATTATTACTTACTCCCTTTGAAATAAGCTAATCGTCGATAACAGGTGTCCTACTCTACGACAAAGGCGCTTTGAAGTACGCCGCGTGCCTCGTGCCGCTTGTTTATGCACGCTGACAAAAGACGCCGCCGCTGTCGATACGTCGCAATACCAATAGTTTGCACTGCGTGGCAACGTCGCTTTTTAATGTTCAAGGATTTAAGTTTGTTGAATCATTGACTTAGTGACCCAATTCTATAGAGGGTTCAAATTCGCTTAAAATTAAAACTCTACTTTTTGACCTAATTACTGGGCCGATTACGTTCATTTTTTGTATACCGTCAGCAAAGGCGATAACAAGTATGTGGTTTCATTTATTGCATATATGTGGGACCCCATTCTGTATATATATATTGGAATTTAGTTATATTTTTGTTTGTAACATCCAGATATTAAGACATCTTTGCCAGCCGCTGACATTACATACATTTGGAAAACAAAAAGCGTACTTACAGTTTATTACTTTTTGTTTACGACACATAAAAACTCTGATAAATTAAATAATCATATTATACACCAAACCTTATATTAATAAGTATTTTATTTTTTTAAACATAACAGTAATTTCTTCAAGACAACCAATGAATCGACAGGATTACACGAAGATAACAGGCTAGGGCAAATTTATGTGTATAATATATATAATACATATACTACAAACATATATGACATACAAAAACTAAAATAAATATATATTGAATTATCTAATTAAATACAATCATTATACTACAACTACATACCGTAAAACATGGCAACTTGACCATATTTTTTGAGAAAAATCTAATTATTTCTTTATTTATTGAGTGCAGAAACATACAACTTGTTGTATATACTTATTATACATTACGCCAACTTTTTCTGCATTTGGCATTTTATAAAAACTAATAATTAAAATAGTAGAGAGTAATAAAGGATATGGGTAAAATTAACAATGTGGCAATATTCCCTACGCACAGTATTTCTAGTTTAGTTTAGTTTAATAAATTAGGTAAAGATGACCTAAATTACAATGACAATTTTATAACGAAAAGATGAGTAGGAGGAAAGAAGTTAAGAAAAAAGTCCACACTGGCATCAGGGAAGTTGCCAAGGTATTCAGGCAATTTACACACAAATATCTTTTACCGTACAGGGTTGTCAAAAAACAAAAACAAGACATCTTTGATGGGTTTATATTTTTTAAATATAAAATATTGTTAGGTTTAGTTTTTATACTTAATTATTATCTATTAACCTTAAAATTTTAATATACAAATTTAAAAATATTTTGTACTTAGGTTTTTCTTTTACAATAGAAATATCTATAAAATAAAATACAAATAACATAAAATTGCACAGGTTACAAGACGAGAGTAAGTTTAATTTAATCAAAATAAATATTGTCTCATCATTCATAAGAACACACTCTTCAGGGTATTCTGATATTTGCAGTAGTTATATAGAATTTACTATAGCATTTTCAGGCAGATATTTATCTTCACCCGACCTCTAAGGAATAACAAACTTAATATGATCCTTGCTGCGTATTTGTTTATAGTTTGTAGCTGAATACATTTTTTCATATCTTGATATTTTTGATTTAGGTGAATAATATCTACTCAAAATTGTATCTCCTTCAATCCATCTAATTTCATTTTTCTCGGCCCTTTCCTGATGAATATTCATCTGTTCTTCGTCAGAATTATACTTTTCCTTTAGAGAATATTCTATATTTTTTACTCTTAATTCAGTCTCATTACATATACCTTCCTGTTTATTTTTACTGTTCATTTGTACTTCCTGTACATTTTTTTTGTTTTCACCATCTCAACAGCCAAAGTCATCATTTCATCCGCGTAATGTTTAAAGCCTCGTACGATGCCTACGATTTGTTACGCTAAAGGCTGATTCACACAGGGTCAGTAGACAAGTCAGTCGCAGCGCCAATGTCGGCGCCGCGACTGACTTTAACTGTTTACATGAAGTAAGTAGTAGTGGTGCGTTTCTCACGGTGAGCACACGTGTGTGAAGTCAGTGGGAAATATGAATTCGCGAAAACAACTGAAACGACGATTTAATTATTTGTTGAAAAATTTATCAATTTTGCTGTTGAATGAGTTAATAGAAATGGTAGAAAATGAGATAACTAAAAATAAACGACAATGGGTAAGAAAATGGATTGACGATAGAAATGAAACTGGTGGCTCTGCTTTGTTGCTGAAGCAATTGCGATTTGAAGATCCTGCGGAGTACAAACTGGCTATGAGGATGTCACCACAGAATTTTGACGAATTGCTGTCAATGATATCGAGCTCTATTCAACGACAAGATACATTCATGAGAGATGCTTTACCAGCCAAATGGAATAATGAAGAGAAGAAGAGAATGGAAATAACGCTGACATTTTTGGCTTCAGGAATGAACTATCGGTTCCTTAGTCACTTTTATCGTGTCTCAAAACCAGCAATTTCTCAACTAATACCAGAAGTATGCTGGGAAATATATACGGCACGAAAAACACATATTAAGGTAAGAAATTTTTTATTATTAAATTATTAGAAAATTAAGAAATACAACAACAAAATAGTATTAAGAATTTTCATAGGAACGCATAATCGTGTTAACAGCAGTGTTATTTTCACTTTCAGCTTCTTCGTTGATCGTGGTGCTGTAATTCAAACCTGAGGGTGTAATAATAACCTGCCTGGGGTTTACAAATGTAGGGTTCGTTGATCGATCGGAAGGATGAAATCCTAAAGAGCTGTTGCTAGTGGCAGGCTCGGCAACCTCTGGCGGGTAAAATGTTATGGTGTTGTCGCTTGATGCAGTCATTGGGTTGGGCTCCAGGGAGTAAAATCCCATGCTACTTGTGCTGCTTGTTGTAGTTGCTGCCGGACTAGGGATAAAATAGTTAGGGGATGAAGAGTGTGCATTTTCTGTATACTTCTTTTGTTGTATATCAGCCAATCTAGCTTTGGATAATATTTTTTGGATCTCTTCTTGTGCAATAACAGATTGTTCTTCAGACAGTTTTTTTAGTTGAGCTGCCACATGTTTACCGAAAATATCAGCGTCAGACTCTTCTTCAAATGGTGACATATTAACATCATTTGACACACTTTTTAAGTCCTTTATCATGGCGGCCATCTGAGATATTTTGAAGCGTTTTGATCGCGAAGGCCCAGATTGATTGGGAGCTGTCACAGAATTTCGAACTGGCGTCTGGATGGCTTGAGTTGGCGTTTCAGTAGAATTATCATTATTTTCAGTAGATCTTGATACATTTTCAGCTCCGTCACCAACACCCTCAGCTTCACCCAACTCAACGTCATCGTTGCTGGTTCCTGAGTTATCCTGTTAATGAGAATAAAATGTAATGTTTAATAAATCATTAGTTGATGATAATACGTATTTAGGTTGTAATTATTTTTTTTTTTGTTTACAGATTCCAGAACGAGAGGAAGAATGGAAAATTATTGAAGACGGTTTCAATACCAAGTGGAATTTCCCTTCATGTTATGGAGCAATCGATGGGAAGCATATTATAATTAAAGCTCCTCCAAATAGTGGAAGTGAATTTTATAATTATAAAAAAACCAATAATACAGTATTGTTAGCACTTGTAGACCACGACTATTGTTTTTCATATATAGATGTTGGAGCGAATGGAAACGCCTCTGATGGAGGTCTTTTCAAAAATTCCTCATTATATCGTCGGTTGGAAGATGGATTGCTTCCTACAAATGGAGTAATAGTTGGTGATGCAGCATTTCCACTGAAGAATTATTTACTAAAACCCTATCCAGGTACGCAGCTAAGTACTGCCGAAAAAGTCTTTAACTACAGGTTGTCGCGTGCAAGGCGCATAAGTGAAAATGCTTTTGGTACACTGGTTTCTAGATTCCGAGTGTTCGAAAAAGCAATTCCAACCCATGTGGACACAGTTGATGCCATTGTCTGTGCAGCCTGTGCCCTGCATAATTGGTTGCGAAAGCGTTCAAGTTCCTACATAACATCTACTTTTGTAGACAGAGAGGACAATGATGGACAAATAATAGAAGGAACATGGAGATCGGAAATAAATCCACTACCAAGCATTTCAGAACAACAAAGAGGCAACCATTCCATGACTGCTAAAGAAAAAAGAGACCTATATAGGAACTTCTTTATGACTGCTGGAAGTGTGCCATGGCAATTGGATAGAATTCATTAATTTTGTATAGGTACCTAGGATGGAAATAAAATAAATAAGTTACAATAACTACTTACCATTGTTTTCCTTTTTACAATAGCATTTTTTATAAAGCCGTCCAGTTCTTGAAACCACTTGACTTTTGGGACATATACGTTCCCACCAGCGCCAGATCTGGTGGATTTTTGTATCTTGTCGAGCTCTAAATAATATGTAGCCCTTATGGCTTTAATTTTATTTTTTACTTCAGTAGAAGTGAGCCCTCCGATTTGCATTTGTTGAGCCATATTTTGCAACGCTGTTGACCGCATTTCTTTATTGCGGTAATTTAGGGATTTAATATCCCAAAGGCACTCGTTTTCGCCATATAATTGCACCAATTTTAAGGTTTCGTCTTCGGTAAGCTTACGCGTCATTTTTATCGCCAGCGAAAAAAACGTGGTCACTCTACAACGCAGCGGCAGTGACTAACCACGCACTGACTTGTCTGTTTACACGGGGTTTATTTGGCTGGCGCGGGGGTGCGCGGGTGGCGGGGGGCGCCAACTGACTTTAAAATATTCGTGTCCGAATATTCAAGTCAGCGCTAACTTCAAGCCACTGTACTGACTTCAAATCAGTTTACACAAGTTTTTTTTCGGGTCAGCACTGACTTGCCTCGAATTTGTACTCAGTTACTGACCCTGTGTAAATCAGCCATAAGGCGTAAAGGCTGCTCTTCCCGCAGCGCCGGAGACGTAGCAGTCTCAAAATAGATACAGAAATCCTTCTGAATCAGTCCCCTTATTTTTTTATGACGAAGGGAATTTTTTTCTCATAAAATGGATTTATATTTACATTATAAATGCAAACATGAAAAAAATATAGATATTTTAGAAATCGATTTTTTGGGAATCGAAACATCAGCTTACAATTCGAATCTATTTAAAAACTCGATCTTTGTCGGAAAGAATCGACATCCCTACTGACAATAATAATAAAAAATGGCGTCTGTGTCATAGTAGGTAGGAATTGACATAAATATTGCAAAAATATTTGATTTTCAATACTTTTCTTTAAAAAAGTACATGTTTCCGCATGTTGAAACTTTGTGTGTGTGCTTATAAAAATGTAATCTTTCCGTAAAAATACGTATCAACACCAAACTCGACGGACGTCAATGGAAAGTCGTGCCTAATATAATATGACAATGAAGATATTTATAATATTGTCAAATAATTCTATATCTTTTTAACAATATAATAATTCAATGATGTAATTCACTTTTTATTCCTTACAAAATAATCAACGCATGTTGTGATTTTGTAAGGAATACCCATAAAAAGAAATACAATTATAATGTGTTTAATTTGTAATGAAAATTATCTTTGTATTACTGTTGTAATTTCTGTTGGTAATTTCTGTTGGTTGACTTGAGGGTATTGACAATCTCATTTATTTTTTACCGCCGAGTACTCTATTTGGTAAATCAAATTTCAAAAGAGCTATTAACAATTTCGTTAACAGCTCTTTTAACGAAATTGTTAATAGCTCTTATCATATTATATTAATTAGGCATCAGTGCCTAATTAATATAATATAATATAACGCCGTTATAAGTTCTTTTATGTTTTTATTGTATCAATCGCGTCAATTAATCTCTTATTTTTAGAATTGATGTTCACACTGCCATCTCTCTTTAAATCTATACATATAATAAAAATGGTGATAACAACATGTTGTCTGTTACTGTACATTGTATAGTAGATATTTTAATTTGTGACTAAAATCATTATGGGGACTGAAAATCATTAAATAAGTACATTTTTATAATTGTTAGAATTGTACTGTCTGACGGTTTGTCTGTTTGTTTATGAACGCTTGACGTTTTGGGTAAACATATTATTTTCAATGAAATCCTTAACAAAATCATAAAGCGTATCATTATGTTCATTTAATCTTTGTTTTATTAAAATTGGTTAATTCTATCGAAAGTTATGATTATTATTTTGAAATGTAGGTTCGAATTTGTTTAATGGCGCCATAAAATCTCAGAAATACTAATAAAAAGATTCATGTGTAAAAAAAACGTTCTATTATAATATATTTATACTTAAAACACAGTAAAAAGAAATATGTTTTCCTTAAATTAAAAAGGATGTTTTCTCACAAAGAACGTAATAGATGGCGTTGTACAAATTACAACCTTTTCTGAATTGCGTTGTTAAGATTTATCGCCGGTGAATCGTATTGAGACTCACTGAAGAAATTTATGTCCATTAGTAGGACAATAACGCTGTAAGAGCCGTGTAGGTTAACATCTCAAACATCAACAGAAACAATAATCAGAAAGAAAAAATAATACTAATAAAGTTATGCATCTCAAACATCAACAGAAACAAAAATCAGAAAGAAAAAATAATACTAATAAAGTTATGCAACAAAACCCGACTAAAAGTAGCTAAATTGCAATAACATGTGGTGATATTGTTTTATACCCAGAATCCCTCTAATACGAAATAACTTTCCTTTCAGTTTTAAGATAGGGATTATCGATGTTGCAGATGCAGAAACATCGATGTTGGCATTGATAGCTCAACATCGATGTTCGATGTTTAGCCTACTTAAAACATCGATGTTGACCATTATCGATGTTTTTTTGTATATGTGTAGATACTTACACATTGTTTCAAAATTATGTGGGTATACACAATAAGGGAAAAGTAACAATTAACTTGGATATCAATTTACGTAGAATAATTATTATGCAACAACCGACAATGACACTACAAAATAAAGCGAAAGCAGTGACCATTATGACATTACAGGTGACACTTGACGATTAAGATACGTTAGTATCATATTAGTCTGTGATTAAGTTTGATACACCATAAATGACATTTTTTTAGGTTAACGATGCGTTCAGGAATTCTGAATTATTCAACATATATTAGGCCTAGGCCATCCTAACTATTTCCGTTACTGAAAACCAATAAGCATTATCTGGTCATCATAAGACCTTCAGAATGTGCTCATGCCCACGGATTTTTTTGGATTCACCGTAACTGGAGTGCAAGTTAGTATCAGTGGGGTGTCGCCCGCTCTACAGATAGGTTATATAATATACAGATAAAAATAAATAACACATTTATTAAATAAATAAAATTTACCATAATGAGTACAATTATCATAATATCTGACCAATTTCTTAAAAGTGTCTTAATACTGACCTTATCATGAATAAAAATATCTTTTGAAGTGTTAATATATAGGAAACGTTATTTATATACATATATACGGAACGGATTTCATTTATTGATCGATGAAGCCGCAGCCGTGCGCGTTTAGTTGGCGTGACTCCTATAAATTAAAAATATCATTTCCTATCTATTAACTAGCTGTTCCCCACGACTTCGCCCGCGTGTAATTTATTACGATTGGATTTCACGGGTTTTAAGTTTTTTCACGGAACTCTAATTCTTTTTCTAAATTAAAATTAGCCTAAGTTCCTCCATATAATATCAGTTATCAGCCACTGAAAGTCTCGTCAAAATCGGTTCAGCCGATTCGGAGATTAGCCGGAACAAACAGACAGACAGACAGAGAGAAAGATAGAAAAAGATTTTGAAATTTTTGTTTTGTTATAAGTACCGTATGTACTTTCATATACATTTAGTAAAAAAATGTTATTTTGACATTACAAATAGACACTTCAATTTTATTTATTTGTATAGATATATATTAATAGACAGGAAATGCTATTAAATAAGATTTAGGTATTATTAAATATCATTTAATTTATCTATATATATGATATTTGAACCAAACGCCCACGGCCACGCCCCACGTTTGAACTAGGACTGTTGATAAAATATCGATATATCGAAAAATCTATTTTATTATTTAGAAATATCGATATTTATTTTTAATATTTTTGACGACATAAATATTGAAATATAAGTTTGATATTGAAATATAGATATACGAAAGTCGATATATTTTTAAAATAATTTAAATTTTTATTTTTTCACGTAAATAATTTAATCTACAACACCATCGTAAACTTAAATCCTAATTCTTGATGGACTCTGCAATACTTTATTTACACTATATTATGTTTTTCATTTTGCCCCAGTTTATTTATTTGCTTATTATCTTAAAAAGAAACGTAATGTTGTAAAGTATATCTCTGTGATATTAAAATCACTATAATCTATGAAACTTAGTACTACTTTACTTACTGTAAGTTTTGGCAGGAGCTTGACCATTAAGGGATGGTTGCTCCTGTTTTATCGTTTAAATAATCGTTTGAAGTGGGCTCTTATCAAAGTGATGCGACTATGTGTATTAAGTGTCTGCACATGTGAGCTATTAGACGAACGACGAAATAAGTGCTTCGATGTTGGTATAAACCTCAAGTTATTTTAATCGCTTAGGCGTCTTATTATTTACTTCCGTGCTATCAGAAATAGCTGTTAAATACTTGATTTCTTCAGCTGCATCAAAAGCATCTGAACGAGTTATTTCTACAATCAATCTTTTAGTGCCCAATAATTGGAATATTGAAACAGCTGGAATTGTACAACAGCTGAAACAGTATTGAAGTGGAAAGAACTGGTCTCTGCCTACCCCTACGGGAAAGAGGCGTGATTATATGTATTTATGTATGTATGAAACAGTTGAACATATAAAACAACGAGTATTTTTGAAAACTCTTACTGACAAATATTGGTAAACATAATTGTCTTATTTAAATTAAACAATAATTCAAGTTAAAGTTACAGCCTATATACGTCCCAATGCTGGGCACTCCTCAGCTGGGCAGGCCTCTCCTAACTTCTGAGAGTGTTTTAGGGCAACGTCCGCCGTGTTGCCCCAATGCGTGTTGGCGAACTTCACGTTTTCTGAAATTTTTATTTTATTTCTCAGACATGCAGGTTTCCTCACGATGTTTTTCTTCATCGCCGAGCACGTGGTAAATCAGCACTTAAAATTGCAATTAACAATTTCATTGGTGTCGGCGGGGATCGAACTCGGGTTGCTCGCGTACTGTGAAATTTACAGCGAGCGTTAACCATCTGAGCTACCATGGCTTTTTAATAATTAGGTTATAGTTCTTAGTAAAATAATTACTAAGAACTATAACCTAACATTTTCATACATTTATATTTTAATTTGTTTAATAAATATACTAAATTATAAACTGTGTGAATCATTTTTAAGCAATAAGTATCACAATATATCGCTTATGTTTCCGATATACAGGGTATTTTTGGAACGCTCCCGAAAACTAAGACAGGCGACAGCACCAAGTATACCTTTGATCATGGGTAACACATAAATTCGATCCTGATGAAAAAAAAAATCATCTTTTTACAACGTTTTATTAGCTTTATTCACGCGCTATCATGTTAGTACAGCTAAATGAAACGATAAT